TAGAATCTACAAAACAAATGATGCACAATGCAATTGCTCACCACGTGCCGACCGATGCCCAGCCAGTTCCTGAGCAGCAGGGCCCCTCCCAGCTAACTACCCCCAGTTTCTATACTAGGCATGACATCATATGGTATGGAATATCCCTTTGACCAGTTTGGGTCAGCTGTCCTGGCTGTACCCCCCCTCCCCCAGCTTCTCACTGGCAGGGCATGAGAAGCTGAAAAGTCCTTGACTGGTGTAAGCACTACTCAGCAACAACTAAAGCATCAGGGTGGTATCAACATTATCCTCACACTAAATCCAAAACACAGCGCTGTGCCAGTACTAGAGGAAAAAAAAATAACTCAGTCCCAGCCAAAACCAGGGCACCCAGGAAGGTTTTTTCCTGAACAGAGGTTCATCCCAACTGGCATCCTCCCATGAAATGTTCTGGTGAATTTTAAAGCCTTATTGTACCATTTTGTAACAAATAAAGGAAATACAAACCCTATCAGCTCCATGGGGAAGCACTGCCACACTCATTTTACAGCTAAATGCTTAAGGGGCAGAGAAATTTGGTCCAGGCAAACGCTGGGTAGAATGAGGGTCTGCACCTCTCAAGGGCATGGTTTGCACGTCAGCCAGATATGTGACCCAGGAGCAAGCCACCTCATTTTAGACATCCAGCTGAGATACCAACCACAGCAACGTGATAACCCTGCGGCCCCTCCTGTGCCTACGCCCAGGCACTGAAACTCAACAGCAAGCGCAGACTCAAGGTGTTGTAATGCAGACTGCAAAGGCTGCACAAAGATTTGGTCAGATAAAGTGCAAATAGTGCAAGAACTATTTGTGTAAAAGATTACAGAACTGTGGATCTCATTCTGGCATCTCAGGTTCGGGAACAAACTTTGGAAAAAGTCATGATTTTCCAGAAAAAAAATGTTAAATAGAAAGAAGTAATGTTTTTCCGAATCAAGCCGCCACCATCCTGTTTGGTTTTTTGTTTTTTTTTCTTGAGGAAAGTGGAAGTTGTATAATAGGAAGTGAGAATGGACCGATTAGTCTAAAAAGCAAAAGCTATTTACTAAATACTGGCCTCATGGGCACACTGGAAAGAATGGGAGGAAAAATACATGTGGAGAAAGACAGATTGACAGAAACTTGTGTCTCAAAATAGAAATATTCACACGAGATACTCTCCATTATGTGGATGCTGCCTGTCAGTAAGAATGCATATGGAAAATAAATGAGTTCTATCCTTCAATTGTCATGGCCACTGAAAATAAATAGACATCTGGCAGCGAAGGCATGGCAGGCACAAGCTAAGCTATTGTGTTACCCCTGAAACGCATTGGATGTGTGAAGAAGCACACGCTACCCATTGCATTTAGCAAATGACCCGACTGAAAGACGTGCTCACACCCCCGAACGGACACCCACTGCCATCATCTGAATAGGTCTGGCAGGGCTTGGCTGCTGGGGCTAATTTGCTCAGCAAGGTGGAACTGAGATACCCCTTTCCCCCTGCTGCTCGTATTCTTGGTATCTACACCCAGGTCATCCCATCAGTCAATCTGTGTTTGCCCCAGGGGCTGAAAGGGTTTTCACAGACTTTGCTCCCCTGTTGCCCCATGCATTTGCTGTGCCACACACAAAAATCCCCTGCAAGGCTCCCCTGCCGTTGCTCAGTTCATCCCTTGCTGGAACAGCAAAGGACCACGAGCCACGCCAACAGGCCCAAGGAAGCGACTTTGTTCCAGGACACCCACAGAGATACCCAGAAAATCACAGCGGTGCGTCTAGGGCTGACGAGCCACAGCTTTGCCACGCTCAGCAGCAGTAGGCTGGGAAGACCTTAATGTCACGTCGAGCAGCGTGAGCACAGCTCCTCCAGAAAAATGCCATCTGCGAGGTCATTTTCAACTGAGACCTCCTGGGAGAAGCAATGCAGAAAAAAAGGAGGGGATTTCCTCAGCTGCTGCTGTTATCAGGCTTCCCTCCTCCAAACACTAAGGGGAATGGGTTTGCTAAAGCATGTTCTGCCAATTTTCTATTCTTCGTTGCTTTGCCTACAGCAGAGGTCTGCATTATCTTATCTGCTGCTCAGCGCATTGCAATGCCAGCGCAGGAATCAGCATATACTCTGCTAAGACCTTGCTGTTCCCTTCGGAGGCACCTCTGCAGAAAAGCTTAGGGGACTCACTCCTCTGAGCAGACCATAATACGGGCAAACGTTGTCTGAGAGGCATTAGACCTTATCCTGGGGAGAAGGAACAGAGCATGTAAGGAAAGCACAGCTCAAATCCTGTTAATAAAGCAGCGACAGAGAATTGAAAGAGGGGAAGTGGAGGGGGAAGGAGAAGAAAATCACGTTTTCAAAGTGCCGAGACACTGCCACTCCAGCTTCTGCTTTCCCGTGCAGCAAAAGCAGGGTGTGCTTTATTCGGGGGCACGCAGCACCCAGACGTGTTCATCGAAAGGGACGGCTGACCAGCCGGCAGTACTGCACTAACTTCTTTAGCAGTGCCCTATTGCAGAGTTAACTGCTTTGATGCAGCCTCCTGCTGCAAAACTCCTGCTGCTTCTGCTCCCAGATGCGTGAATCCGGGGAGTAGAGAAAAGGAGCCGGAGTTCTTCGCCACGATGACGTATTGCAAAACTGCTCTGGGATTTGCACCCCCTGTTTCCTGACAGAAAAGAAATCGGGCTTCAGCAATGATGCTTCTCCTCTTTTTCCAGCTGGTAATGCAGCAGAATGGCTGGGCTGTCACGGGGTCTATGTGCAGCTGCAACAGGTTGTTGGTGATTAAATGCAAAATTCATCCAGGACATGAGGTTCTGATTCAGCCCAGAGGCAGTTCAAAGACCTTTACAGCATGCTCCCTGGGGAAAGACCTACTCAGCTTTCAAGCAGACACTTTTTGCTGCCTTTTATCTCTGGGAGGCAAAGTCTGGAAAGGAAACAGGGGTCGTGTGTCCCTTTTGAGTGCTGCTCCCTGGATTTCCATAACCTGAGGGATTACCTGGAGTCAGACTGAAACACCCACCTCTGTTCGAAAGGCAATGATGGGAAGATGTTGTCTTCTGGATCATCTAGGAGCTGCTTTGCAGAATGGACTCAAGTATTTCACTGCCCTGTTTCTGGATCTCTACAGAACTTGGACAAGGACAAGGACTGTCGGTCCGTAATATCCTATCTGTTTCTAGCTGGCCCTAACCTGTTTTAGCAGAGCAAGGGTTTATTCGGCAGGCAGGCAGTGTTTAGTCTTTCTGGAAACTACTGTAGCCCCCATGGAAAAAAAAATCATTGTTTCAGAAGCAGCTACCTCAAAACATTAAATGTCCTGGGAGATGACACCCTGCCGTGTCCAGGGGGGCTGCCAAAATCTCTCACCTTATCTGAGAACAAGGCCTGCTTTTTTAAGTCCCGCAGATGTTTTGAATGTGCTGTTCGGTTGCTGGCTTCAAGGCTTTTGCTTTTGGCTGGTGTTGACTGCATTACTGGAAAGCCCCAGGACAGGATACCTCCCTCTCCCCACACCCTCGTGAGGGTTAGGGGAGGTCTGTCCATCCTGTTGGGATCTGTCCTCACTCCCCAACCCTTGTGTCCCCTGGACTTTTGCATCTGTTTCTCCTTTCTAGCCCATTCTTCAGACTTGGTCACACATGGCTTTTTCTTAGCAAGCTCTTCTCCTAATGACTTTCTTGATAACTTCCTATGACTCGCGTGGCCCAGCCTCTGCCCAAGGAGCAGAAGCAAAGGAGCAGTTTGCCTGGATATCCAGGTTGAAACAGGCAAGGCATCGCGGTTATGCACAGGCAATAACTGAGGCACAAAATTCTAAGTTCCTGCTCAGACATTTAAAGAGAGCACAGTCCAGGTGATGGCAACGACTTTGTAGCATGAGTCAGTTGGACTCGTTTGCTGGGAGATCCAAAAGCAGCAGAGACAGAAAATATTCCCTTCTTCTAAAACCAGACAGAAATCCTGCTGACAAACCAGACCATCACAAAACCTGCTACAGCACCTGCCTGTCTGCAGGACAGTGAGCAGTGAGCAGAACAAGCAGCATTGCCCCCAGAGACACAACCAGCGGAAAGCTGTAGCGTTACTGACACCAGGATTACCGACACACCCCCCCCCGACCGGCTGAATTGGTGCGAAGGGACTGGCCAGCGTGGCTTGAGAGCAGAAGTACAACTTAGCCCAGTCCTCAGCCCGCCTGCCCACACCCCTGCCAGGGCAGGACTCAAACCAGCAGCTGGGGGGGAGCAGACCTCTCTGCAGCCCCTCGCCCAGCCCAGCACCCTCACCTGCCTGAGCAGCACATGGGGGCATCATTTCTTCCAGGCAACCTACTTTTCATTTTTAAGTTGATACTTTTTGTCAGCCAAACTACCCAGGCCAGTCTGCACTGACATCAGGGTGTCATCCAAAAGCTGTAAACTGAGCAGCATCTTCTTCCTTCAGGATCCTCAGGCTACCCGGCACGCTCCGCCTCCCCGCCAGCCTCAGAGCAGACTGGGATCAGAGCTGAGCCTGATTCCTTTTCCTCTTCTTTCCCCCCCTGCCCCTTCTCTCTAACACAGCACCAGGAAGGGACCCAGCTGCTGCCCACACTGCACAGCAAACTAGGATTTATGAGCCGTGACCACCAGGAACAAGCAGAAAAATTTCCCCTTCCACGATTTCAGCAAGGCTACAAACACCTGGGGAAATGCAACGGGCTAATGGACATCACTCAGACCATCCCCAAACGCCTGCCGTTCTAGCTGGCCACTTTCCAGCCCTCTCTACTTTTTTCAGCTGGCTAACGTTCACTGGCCATAGCAAGAGACCCCCAAGCCCCTTCTGATGCTCAGCAGGACCCATCTGATGCCCCAGTCTGACACCAAGCAGTCGCCTGGGAGCCATGGGCCTCATGCAAGATGGAGGCTGGACCTGGTGCAAGCCCCTTGCAGGGCTGGCCCCACATAACCTCCTGTTAGGACTCCAGCAAACAAATTTCAACTCATCAGGCTGCCTCCTTCTCCTCTGCTGAGCCAGAGCCTAGCAGACACCATTCACTCATGGCACCGTGCCCACACAGGTTGGCCAGTGACTTCCAATGCTGTCCTGGTCCTGCAACACCACCACTGTCCGCATACCCAGAGAAGATAAAAGAAGAGTGTCTGCTCATACTCACAGTTTTGAAGTCCTCATGGTTGCATTCTTGGCCTTTGAATTTGCAGTACAACATCATATCCTTCAGGTCATGGCCAACTCGCGCCAGGAACTCCTGCATGTTGAAAACTTTTGGTTTATACTGCTTAAAGTTGGCCTTTTCTTGGAGGATGGCTAAGACAGCCGGGTCAGCCAGATGAGGGTTGGGGATCTGCAGGTTGACATCAAGCAGAGCCAGGAGCTCTCCAGCGTGGTACAGGTCGTTGGTGGTGAGCCGGGAAAAGCGAAACTCATTGAGGTTACAGATGGTGACAGCAGGGAAGACCAGGCTGTTCGCCACGACCTCGTCCACTTTGGTCACATGCTGGTAGGAGAAGTAGAAAGCCACCCGGTCTGAACTCTCAACCAGGAGAAGACCCAGAGAGCCCACAAAGGCCAAGGTCCAGAGCAGGCGACGGATGGTGACTGGCCCATAGACAAAGACGTGACGGATCCCGTGGAGCGTGGAGGTATTGGCAAAAATCTGGATGCTGGAAGGCTGCAGGCTGCCCATGCTGCCCTCGCTGGTGCTGTCCTTCAGATCCATCAGGAGTAGTTAGTTAAATCCTGGCACTGCTTTTTGGGTCAATCTGTAGCTGGAACTGGGATCCGGATCTCTGCCCTCCTCTCTCGAAAGTATTTAAACCCTTTTAGGGGTGGGAGAGAGAGGGAGACTCTCAGGCCAGCTGCTGTGAGTTTATCCCACAAGCTCAGCAGTAGCTTCGCCGGGGTAAATATTTATATAAAATCCATTCAAACTCTCTCTCTTGATTTCCTCGGTGCGATAAGAAGGGCTGGTTTTATTTAGGGAGACACCAAGGTGATGTGGAAGAGATGTGGGTGGGCAGCGAAAGCTGAGCCAATGGAAATAAAGTCCTCCCCCTACACACACACACATGCACACACACACGCGCCGAACGGAGATGAGATTAAGCGAGAGAGCAAGCTTAAAACAAGCCAAGGCAGCTCACAGCCTGTTCACTAGTGCGTAAAGCCCAAGGATGCCGCTTCCCAGAGCCGATATCTTGCAGAGCGGCGGGGCTTTCGGACCGATCGGGTGATGCTCCTGGTGCTCCGGGGATGTGAGCTGCTGGATTTAGGCACCTCTCCTCCTCCCCCACCCCTCCATTTTGGGCAGGGCTCCAAGAAATACCACCCCAGAAACCCACCCTGTGCTGCCGGTGTTATTTCCAAAGGCTTCTCTCGGGGAAAGGTGGGCAGCTAATTCAGCAGAAGTATGAGGAAAAGGGGGAGGGAAAGGGAAATGAAAACCCACCCTGTGCTGCCGGTGTTATTTCCAAAGGCTTCTCTCGGGGAAAGGTGGGCAGCTAATTCAGCAGAAGTATGAGGAAAAGGGGGAGGGAAAGGGAAATGAAAAAAGGGGGGGGGGGGGGGGAGAATTGCTGCTCAGCTCCACGCATACGCACACACCGAGCAGGGGAGAAAGCAATCGCGTGAAGCCTCTCCTCTGTCACGCAGTGGCTCAGAGCAAAAAATCAGAGAGGGCAGGACTCAATGGGGAGAGGCAGGGGGGGGGGGGGGGCTGGGGGGAGGGCCCATCTCT